GAGTAACATTCCACTGTATGAATATAACACAGTGTGTTTATGTATGCAGCAGTGGACAGACAGAGTAGTTTTCAGTTTGGGATGATTAAGAATAAAGCCACTATAAAAATTCATGTACAATTTTTATGTGGACATGTGTTATTTCCCTTGAGTAAATAAGAATGAGATTGCTGGGTTATATGGTAAGTCTATGTGTAACTTTATAAGAAACTGCCAAACTGTTTCCCAAAATAATAGAACCATTTTGCTTCCTATGGCAATGTGTGTGTGTATGTATGTATGTGTGCATTTAGACATATATGTAACATTTTTAATGTATCAATATCAAATATATATCCCTACCACAAGTTCAGTGGCAACGGTTATCTTACAGTTCTGGAAGTCAGAAGTCTAAAATTAGTCTCACTGGGCTAAAGTAAATGTATTGGCAGGGCTGTGTTCCTTTCCGTAGGCTCTAGGGGAGAATCCATTTTCTTGCCTGTTCCAGCTTCTAGAGGCCACCCACAGTCCTTAGCATGTGGCCCCATCACCAATATGGGGCAGGACAGTGCAGGGACAGCTGCTCCAGGACCTGGATTGTGTGTGCTTTTGGCTCCACTCCTCATCTATTATGACCACCTTGAATTGCAGGTGCATGGAGGATTCAGGGAAAGGTATGCTTTCCATGATGGGGTCTGTTGCAGAGAAAGAAGTGGAACACACTAATGCAGTATTTTTCATGAATGTTATAATAAAACCCTATTTATTTTCCTTTTATGTCATACCATTTGTAAAAATAAGACTGCCATCAAGAGGAGTTCCCATACTTTGAAGTATGTCATTATCTAAATGGCAAAGTGACTTTCTTTGGCTGAAATAATAACATGCATCATAACTTGGTGGTGGTGGTGAAAATAATTTCCTGTTGGACTATCACCTGGCTGATGGGTGAAAGAACTTCTCCCACATGGGCTGGATGACGCAGCCAAGGAAGCATTGGTCTGAGAAGATGTGGGAACCAAGTGCACGTGTGGTTGGGGGATACTTCTGTGTCTCAGGGTCCCTCTTGTCAGCTTACTGGGCTAGACAAGAGGCCATGGTTATTGCTTTGACAGTGGCTCTTCATCTTCCTTCTCCTCCTCTCCTTCTCCTCTTCATCTAAAGCCTCCCCTAAGCCCTCAGACAATGAGAGATGGTTATGATGTGAGGTTGGGGTGAAGGGTAGTGTTGCCCCTGAGCAAATGGGGGGAGCCACAGCACCCCACGCTCCTTCTGTTATGCTCTGCTTCCTCCTTAGATCGTACACCCATCTCTCAGATGGTGCTGGCTACAGGGAACAGCCCCTGCACCTGTGTGTGCTTGATCTGCCTTCTGCAGATCCTCCCCCCCAGACATCCCCCCAGGGCGTTCTTCCAGTTTTACTAGCCTATGAAATATGTAGTTAGGGCAAGGATAGCTCAGCTTCCTACCTGAAGCCTCCATCTTTTCTTTTACTCCAAAAAGTTCAAGAGAATACAATAATTTGTAATAATTTTTTTCCAGAAAATATTTGTGCTGGTCATTCTGTTTGGCTTCATGCTAGCATTTCCTAAATCCTTATCTATTTTGCTACAAGTTAGACTATTTTATACCTTTTTTTCTAGAATAAGGTTTCAGCTTATGTAAAGACACGGTTTTAGGAATATGGGCTGAGACTCCCAAAAAGAATGATTTTTGTGATTGTGGGACATTGTGGATGTGGTTGTTCACAGGGGAATGTTGAGTTATTCTGGTCGTTAAATATTATTGATTGGATGTTACAAGATATTCATGGCCATTTTCCATAGTTCTGTAATTCAATAACATAATAAGAAACTCTCACACCAGGAGAAAATTTTAAACAAACAAATAGCTATAATTTTGTAAAATACATTGCTGCCAATGTTTCATTATTAATTTAAAAAATAGACATACACCCAGAGAGCCCTCCCATCGGCTAATTCCTATCTTCTTAGAGAAGAGGCCATGACCTTGTCATCCCTATGAGTAATCTAAGGTACTTCACCAGAGATATGACTTTGACATCTGTTTTTCATCTTGATTTTACCTAGTCAAGGGTTACAGGATTCTTATGAACAGTGAGCCAATATGTAGTCTCATAATTAAGTGTGCAATTTGGAAAGTGTTAGGTGTATAGTGAGACTGCTACTATTATTATTATTGTTAAGATGTTGATTAAATGTATATTTAAAAAAATTTAACAGATGTTAACATGTCAATGCCCAAGTAATTTGAGACAATGTATGTCTGAAGCACCAATTAAATGATATACTAATACTTTCTACGATTTCAAAATTATTTTAATCAGTGTCCTTTTTGTCAGCCTACAAAGACTATGAAAAAGAGCCTAACTGCCTATGTCTTGGAAAATGTACATTTCTTGGAATTATTTTAAAAATCAATCCTTCTAAAAAGCTCAGCAGCAGTTTAAGATATGTTAGCTGAACATTAGGATTGGAATGTTGTCATATTCTAGAAACATGCGCAGTACCATTTGAGGGTATTCTCACATTCGAAGGAGCAAAATAATATCATTTAATTATTTAATATTACTAAGCGTTAAGTATCAATTTGTTAGAGGATGGATAAATAGTGCCAGAAATATGTCTTACTGGTTCAAAAGCTTCATGTACTTGATAACACGGCTTGTTTCATTTAAAAATAAGGCACACCTCACAAGCCTGCCATGAGGTGTTACTGGAAAAATAGTGTGCACAGCCCGAGGGAGGGTGTGGGAGGCGCAGGGGGCTTTGGGGGTCCCTTTCTCCTGGAGTCCATCTGCCCAGGGCTTCCTCCTTCATGTTTCTAGGGTGGCCAGTCATTTTGAGTGCAGGGACTTGTGCCCAACAAAATAAAAAAACATGGCCCTGAATGCTGTTCGACTGTATGATTACTAAAAGTAGACATCTTCCCTCACTAGGTGCTGACAGAGTTTTGCCTGTTTTCGAGTTTGTGATTTCCTGAACTGTGGGTCAGAGCTAAAGCTAATGACATTTTGTGAGGGAAGGCTCTTACAGATTTACACGTGGAATCCGTGATTCGTTTATTTTCAGGAGGAAAACAAAGTGATGGCATTATAAAAACAAAAATACAAAAAAGCAGCATTTTTTTCAGGAGGAAACAGTTGTGAGCTCCCCTCCTCTGCTGCCAGTTTGCTAGGGGCTTTCAGAGCCACCATGGAGGACCTGTCGCCAGGTGGCTGGTCAGTCTCCTAAGAATAGCCATGAGTGGGAGGTCTCTGTGTGACGTCTCTTGGTGTGGGTCTCTGCCAGATGTCTCTGGGCTCTCTCTGAGATCTCTAGAGGTCTCTCAGTTGCATCTCTGTCAGAGGTCTCTATGGTGGTCTCTCACTGTAGGTTTTGTGTGTGGGGGTCAGTGGGGATCTCTCAGTGGGTGGGGGTCTCTGCAGAGGTCTCTTTGGGGATCTCTCAGTGGGTGGGGGTCTTTGCAGAGGTCTCTTTGGGGAATCTCTCAGTGGGTGGGGTCTTTGCAGAGGTCCTTTTGGGGAATCTCTCAGTGGTGGGGTCTTTGCAGAGGTCTCTTTGGGGATCTCTCATGGGTGGGGGTCTTTGCAGAGGTCTCTTTGGGGAATCTCTCAGTGGGTGGGGGTCTTTGCAGAGGTCTCTTTGGGGAATCTCTCAGTGGGTGGGGGTCTTTGCAGAGGTCTCTTTGGGGAATCTCTCAGTGGGTGGGGGTCTCTGCAGAGGTCTCTTTGGGGATCTCTCAGTGGGTGGGGGTCTCTGCAGAGTTCTCTTTGGGGAATCTCTCAGTGGGTGGGGGTCTTTGCAGAGGTCTCTTTGGGGAATCTCTCTGTGTGTGTGGGTCTTTGCAGAGGTCTCTGTGGGTGTCTCTCAGCTGGGGGTTCTCTGGCAGAGGTCTCTGTGTGGGTCTCTCAGCGAGGTCTCTGCAGCAGGCCAAGCCACAGGGTCCCGCACCTTCACGGCCCGGCCCCGCGGCAGGCTGCCCGCCCATCCGGGCTGAGGCGGTACTGGCTGGAGGAGCAGCCCCAGCGCCAGCAGCGGTGCCCCATGTCCAACCACCCGCCGCGCCACCAGGATAACACACACGCCCGCCCCTGCCGGCTCCACTGGGGACGGTCCCCGGTCCCCGCGATTGCCCGTCGCTCTGACACCTCCTCCCTGCAGTCCCAGGACAGACGAGACTAGACTCGCTGTGCACCCAGCCCCCCGCCCTCCCGCACGTCCCTGTAACAGTCGCCAACTGAGACGCCCCACCTCCCCCTCCACTCTTTTCTTTAGGATTCCAGAGGGTGGCGCGCGGGCTGGAGCAGGCTTTGCGTTCCGGGCCCCGCCCTCCACCTAGGGGCCACGACCTTTCCCCTAGGCCGGCGGGGGCGCTGGGAGGTCACTTCCTAGGGGCCCCCTGCACTCTGCTGCTTTCCTCTGCTCCCTTCTGATTCTCCTCGGGCACCTTACCTTCCTCCTCCGTGGGCTGCGGTCTGGAGACCGGTCACGCTAGAGGGGAAGGTGGAGGCCAGGAGGGGAGGCTCCTGTCACCGAGGCTGAGCCCAGAGGGCAGGGTGGTCTGTTCCCCACCGTGAGCCAGGGGAGCCAGATCTCTGTGCTCCTGAACCAGGGCCAGCACCCCCACCCCGGAACTTCCAGGCCCACTTCTAGGGGGTGAGGCTGCTTGGCTCCCACATTCCGGGCCAGGGTGGGGGTGGGGGTCTGCACGGATGGCGTCAGTAAGCCCATCCCCCACCGCTGCACAACATTCAGGGCAGAGAGAAAGCTGGAACCACAGAGTAAGGCAGGTCCTCGGCGGGGGTCTCCATAGGGTTTGTCAGTCCTGACAGGCCTGAAGGCTCTCTGTGATGACAACAAGCTGCCATAGGGACCCCAGGGTGCAGGTGGGTCTGCAAGCCCGTCAGCCTCCCTATGTCCAGAAGCCGTGCTCAGGGAGAGTGGACGCTCAGGCCCATTCCTGCGCCCCGGCACCCCACAGACAGAAGCCACCACCTCTGATGGGAAAAAGCACATCTATTAGGAAGCAATATGTCTTGATAAGAAGCCATTAGCATATAGGGGTTGTGCAAACAGGTTTTCTCTGCATGTCCCCAGTTTTTTCTGGAAGAAAACTTTTCCCACCTGGAAGGCATGAGAAGCATGATCTGGTTGACCAGACAAGCATGTTGGCTAATTGGGAAGGTGGCTGAAGGCTCTTGCCACCCTTTGCCCAGGCTGGTAGGGACTGGCTGGGGCCATAGGCTCCCTGGGCTGGGAGACCCAATTGCTCTCCCTGTCTTGGACCCACCTATTCTTGACAGGATCGCTGTGGCCCATGGGGGTGGCATGGTGACTGCAGGCCTTATCTGTGATTGCTTTCTTTTGCTCTGAGTGGGAGGGATCCCTGGGGTAGCAGGACTGCCTATCCCCTCGGGCCTGGAGTTCTTTGTGGTAATTGAACTCTGAGGGACCACGTCCTTGCCGACGCCCCAGTTTCTCCACTAGGATCTGTCCAACAAGTGTAATGACTGCCTGGACTTCAGCATCATTGCTGGACAGTCTTCTTGGGGCTGGCCCCGGGCTCCCGGCTCTGGCCGATGCAAGCTTGTTTTTCTGCAGGGGAGCTTCCTGCCGTGTGATTTTTTTACTGGGGTCCAGACACTGCGGGCTCCCTGAGTGGCTTTCTGGAGGTGCCTGTTCCTTCTTTCCCAGAAACTGAGAGTATTTGCTCCCATGGGTTTCTCTTATTTCCCTGACCTGGCCAGGGCGCCTTATCCCACTGGCTTGGGAGGCTCTTGGTCTTGTAGGTGTTTGTTCCTGCTGCCCTTGTTTGGGTCTCTTGTCAGTAGGGCCAAGCATCATGCTCTGACTCTTCCCCAGGGCCTTGACTTTTGGGCTTCTGGGCTCCTGCTGCCCCTGGCTGCTGCCTCCCTTCCATGCAGAGTCACAAAAACCCTGGGAAGCTGACATATCCCTACTGGGCACATTCTGGGAATCAGACAGAGGGGCCTGGGATGGCAGCATGTCTTCAGGGAGGAGCATGTTGGTGTGGCGGCCTCGAAAACTCAGGCCAGAGGCACAGTCTTGGAGGAGGACGCCGGTGGCAGGGCCTTGAAGCTGGTTCTCTGTCTTTACCTGCACTTTGAACTCAAACTTACCGACAACCTGTGCTTTCAGGTGTGGCTCTCCTGGATCCTGAGTACCAGAAATTCTAGAGAGTGGGGAGATTTTATTGGTCTCCAGAGATCCTGAACTGAGATTTACATGAGCAGTTTGGGAATTTGCCATCACACTGGCTCCCAAGGTGACTTTCCAAGCGGGGGTCTTCTCCTCCTCAGCCTCCACTGGCTCCATGGCCTCCTTGGCCCCTGAAGACTGGGACCCGACGGTGAGCGCCAGCATTGCGGTGCTGCTGCAGGGGTCTCCTGAGGCCATGCTCTCTTTCCCCTCCCATGCCTCATGCCTGGCCATTGCTGGACTTGGACCCAGCTCTGGGCTGCCTCTCCCGGTCCCCAGGACAGTAGTGCGATGCCACATTCTGCTCATGAAGCTGCAAGTGAGGGGATGAGAAGGCCACCTGCCCTCTTGTCCAGTCAGAGGGGCCTCTGAGCACCCATGGTGGTCCTCAGACTGGGTCCCTGTCAGGTCTCTCTGGACTTCCTCCCCCACAGGTGATGGGGCAGAGAGAAAACCAGTCAGGGTGAGGACTGACTGTTTTTTTATCACCTTCTCTCCTGGGCCTTTCCAGGAACGTTCCAGGAAATTGGCAACCTTGGCTATGGAGTTGTCCCCAAATTCACCGACCTCCCAGGGGAGAAGGGTGGAGTATGCAAAGGGTGGGGGTTGAGCCTTGAGATTTACGGGCTCCAGGGACTGGAGGTTCGAACCCCACCTGTGCCTCACCTGAAACCTTGTAACATGTGCTTCTAGCATCTGCTGAATGCACGGATCGAGGAAGAAAATCTCCTGGGAGGTGTTCACACAGTATTTCCAACCCCCCTGGGATGCTAGATATCTGGGCTTTGTGAGGATGTCAGACTTGACAATGGCATGGCTGGCAGTACGCTGGGACCCAGGCACAGGCACAGGGACTGTGCCCTCGATCTCCCCCAACTTCCACTCCAAATGGGACTTCAGGTTTTTTTCAGCATGCGGCTTCTCTGGGCCCCTGAGTAGGTAACTTCCTGATTTATACCTCTGGGGCCTAATCCAGTCATTATCTTCTGGCTTCTCCTCATCATCCTCCAGAACCTTCACTGAAGCATTTCTTGAACCTGTGCATGAATCTTCTGGGCCCCTCTCCAGATCTTGCCCTAGATCCCTGCTTGGGTCCTTGTCTTCTTTGACACTCATGGAACCCTTCTGAGAGAATCTCTCAGAGCGCCTGGACCTCACCTTCAGGACCTCCCTGCTGCTTCCACCTGCCGCAAACACAGGAGGCTGGAACTGGCCCAGCCCCAGGAACTCACCCTGAGTCTGCATCAGTTCCCCTGATGCCTGGGATCTGCGGGGAGGGCCTGACTCCTGTCTATCTGGGATGAAAGTCCTCTGAGTATTTTGCTTCTGCTGCTCCTGGTGCTCAGAGCCAATGAAAGGCCCAGGAAGGGTGGGGGCTGACTTGTGGCTCTGGGAGGCCCAGCTGTCCTGGGGAAAGTCAGGAATGGGTTGGTTAAAAGCTTCTTGAGCTTTTTTGAGCAGCGAGGGTAAAATCCTCTTCCATTTCAGTCGATTCTGCAAGGGCCATTCCAGATGTTCACTTTCGGTTGGGATGAGGAATTGTGCCTTCTCCTGGGAGGCAGGACAGAGTGTTCTATAGTCTCCTGTAAGGTCCCCTTTACTACGCGGGGGTGGAGGGAAGTATGGTATGTCCGGGGGAGAGGCTGGGAGAGGGGCCTGGGTGTGGATCTCATCCACAGGTGGGAGCAGGGGCTTGGGCAAGGTTTGCGTCAAAGGTTGGGGCTGGGCCACATGCTCGGGCCAGAGCTGGGCCTGGGGAGGCTGTGAAGGTGCTTTAGCCCAAGTTTTAGCTGGAAAAAAGTTAGGGACTTCTTTGAATGAAACAGAGAGATGTGATTTTGAGGGAAACGTCCTAGGGACCCAGGCAGTAGCCACCAGGGACTCGCTGTGCAGAGAGGGGAGGCCCCAAAAGAGCTGGCTGCATTTCTGCTGGAAATGGTCCCCCATGGCCTTGGGATGGGGGAGCTGCTGTGGGCCAGGCAGCTGCTCTAGTTTGTCTGTCATGTTCCAGAAGCAGTGTGTAGCTGTGGTGTCCCACTCCTGGACAGGTGACACTGACCTATTCCCCAGAGCAGCCTGGGGGTAGTCTGGCCTCATTTGTTTCAGAAATGGCCCCTCCTTTTCTTTCTCCTCCCACAGCGTCAGTTCTGCTCTCTTGGTGATGAGCATCTCCAGGAGCTTCCGGATGTTGGGGTGGAGGAAGGCAGGGCTGCCAGCCTCCCTCTGCCTGTGTGTGGAGTCTCCCCAGAAACAAGCCTCTGGTGGCTGGTGGGATTTGCTGTCCTGCGAGGTGGGGAAGAACAGGGCCTTGGCAGTCGCCCACCACCAGCACAGGAACAGGATGGTGCATTCAAGGCCTGAAGTGACCCAGACAGGAGGCGCCAAACCTGGAGGTGAGCTCTCTGGGACCGTGGCCGGGGGGACTCTCTTCATGTCAGACTGGTCTCCTTGAGGTTCGACTGACAGGGTGGAAGCCAGAAGTGGAGGGCACTGGGCCAGGGACGCCAACCGGGTGGAGGTGGCAGGAGAAGCATCTTCCACACTCTCCCCATGGGGCCGGTGGGTGCTGGCAGGCGCTGGATTGCTCACCTCCTCCAGGGGGGCTGGACACGAAAGCTGATGAAAGCCCCCCTTGTCAGGGAGCTGGCCCAGGTGGCTGCAGGAGACAGGAGGCACAAGCTGCAGCAGGGAGGGATGGGGCCAGGGACCGGGCAGGGGTGGGCCCTGTGGCCCCTGGCCCCTCATCTGCCCCCACTCTGACTTCACAGAGCTCGGCCCCCTCCCAGGCCCCAGGGCTCTAGTCACATGCCATTCCCTTCCCTGGTCTCTCCCTCCCAGGTCAGCCCCAGGCCCTGGGGTTGCATTCTAGGCCCTGGTAGGAGGGAGGACAGGGAGAGAAGGGGACAGTCCTCACCTCTGTAGAAGTGAAGTCAGGTCCTGAGCCCCCTCCAGTTCCCTCAGGCAGTCTCTACAAACTGGAAATCAGGAGTCAGGATGCGGGGAAGGGAGGGGCTTGGGGATCTTGGGGGAGGTCAAATGTCCCTCTAGAGCAGACCATGGGGGATTGGACCCTGGAGCCCATGTGTCAGTGTCCAAGGCCCTGTGACCCCAGCAGGGACAGTGACAAGCTCTTTCTGTGGGCAGGACTTTATCACGTCCACAGTATTCCTGCATCTACACCCCAGGGTCCTCACGGCCCCCTGTGGGGGAGAGGACAGGGGCCGCCACAAAGAGGAACCAGCCTTAGCCAGGCTGAGCAGCTGTCCACAGTTGGGCCTGGAGTTCCCCCCCTCCTGCCCCCCTGCACATCCAGGCCCCTACCGGGCAGCGCCCATTCCCTGCCTGCCCGGCTTCATGCCCAGCTCGAGATCTGAGAAGCATCCCAGGCTCTGATTTCCTTTCCCGTAGCTCCCCTCAGGCCTCTGCAGCTTGCTTCCTGGGAGACTCATCCCTCAGGGACAGTGAAGCTAAGTCCCCCCTGGGGCTCTGGGCAGGGCACAGAGCCTTACCTCTCAGAGCACAGCTCTTCTTCCTGCTCCTGGGCCTCCCGCTCTTCTCCACTGGATGCTGGGAGACAAGAAAGATTGAGGGGCTGGGACCAGACATTTGGTGCTCACGGAGGACCTGACCTTCTGCATCTGGCTAATGGACCTCTGTCTTCTTTTCTTTCCTTTGTTATTCATTTTAAAGTGGATAAAAATATTTTCTGTTTTCCTTCATTGAAAAATGCAAAGAAGGATTTTTTTGAGATCTACCATGGATATCTTCCATAACTGTTCCTCTAGTGAAGTAAAATAAAATCTTAAGCCCTCCAACTGATTGAACAGACACCACCTTGGCCAAGGGGACCCCAGCAAAACCTTCCAATTGAGTTGCCTGCCATGAAGTGAAAGGAGGTCAGACTGGCCTAGTCATGGCCCCTCCCTTTCGGAGTTACTTATTATAACAGTAAGATATTATATTATTAAATTTTTAACAGGACCTAAGGCCATGGATGACCACACCTGAAGGCCATCACTTAACAGATCACTTGAGTATGCTGTCTGTCCAGTGGCTTGTCTCTGATTGACAGACTTCCTTATTTTAACTTAAGACATTCCAAGCCTTTAGACAAATCTTCATTTCTTTAACCAATTACACATCAAATAATCCTTGAACTCACCTGCATAACCTCCAATCTTTGACTTTGGGATGTCTTGCCTTTTTGGGCCAAACCAATGTACACTTTCCATGTATTTATTTATCATTTTATGTGTAATTCCTGTCTCCATGAATGTATAAAACCAAACTATCCTGGCCTCCTTGGGCACATTTTCTCAGGACCTCTCAGACATGTTCTGGGCTGTGATCACATACAATCTACTCAGAATAAACTTCTTTAAATTATTTTACAGAGCTTGGGTTTCTTTCCCATTAACACTTTGCTAGGGAAACTGACTCAGACCTACAGGCATCTCTGAGCTGTCCGGCAGGATTCTGCTTCCCGAGGAGGCCAGAGGCCACTCCAGCCCCTGAGGGGAGGCTCTTGGGGGATCCGCACAGCCCTCAGAGCATCCAACAGGGAGGAAAGGGCGGGCCACAGAAATGCGGCTGATGACTGATGAACCAGGGCTCAGGGCCGTCCTCACAGGAGCTCTCGACTCTCTCACGACTCCATCCTCAGCCCCTGAGCCCCAGCATTTAATTTAGCCTTGAAGCCTCCTGCGTACCCACACAAGTGGTCTGAGAGCTTTGGATAGAGATCCTATGCCACTCCAAACACCCCCTGCCCTGCCTGGGCCTAGAAGGATGAGGAGATTCTCATCTCAGGACTCTGCTCGATTTGGAAAAGTGGAAGTCACAATAGGAAAGAGAACCATTCTCTGCCAGGTCTGGGCTGAGAGTTCCTTACCTTCCTGCTGTTTCTTTTCTGCCCAGGTGGTGGTGAGGATGGATCACTCTTGAGGCAGGGCAGTAACAGGAGGAAGAGCCCCAGCCCACACAGCAGGCCCAGGGTGATGTCCACCACCCAGGAAGTGGGGCTCGGGCTCAGCCATGAGGCACTAAAGCTTTTCAGAGAAAAGAGATGATTCTCCATCTTCTGAATCGCATTGTTGCCCTAAAGCAACTGAGCTGTGGGAGTGTCCTTTGGGCCCACTGACTAGGGCCCAGGCCTTCATCACAAAGCTGTGGTGTCCTCATCACAAAGGGCTCCTGAGGGTGGAGGAGGAGTATAAGGGGAGGGGGCTGAATCACAGCCCCTCCCCCACCACCCTGCCCTGCGATCCCTCCACCCTCTGGGCCCCCTGGATTCCTCCTCCTTCAGCCTCCACCTGCTCAACCTGTCAGAGATAGACCTCAGTCAATTTTATATTCCTTCTCTCTGAAACCCAGCTGTTACCTGGTTCCTTTTATCCCTCGAGATCCTGGCTTGAGTCCACCAATTTCATAGCGTTTTTTTTTTTTTTTAATTTCAGAATATTATGGGGGTACAAACACTATGATTATATGACTTGCCTTCCCACTGCCGAGTCAGAGCTACAAGTGTGCCCATTCCCCAGACAGCATGTACCGCGCCACTTAGGTGTGAATTTACCTATCCCCTCCTCCCCCCTCCCGCCTGCCCAACACCCTATGAATATTACTGTCCATTTGTGCACATTAGTGTTGATTGATTAGTACCAATTTAACAGTGAGTACACGTGGTGTTTGTTTTTTCATTCTTGCGATACTTCACTTAAAAGAATGGGTTCCAGCTCCATCCAGGATAATATAAGAGGTAGTTCATTTTTTATGGCTGAGTAGTACTCCATGGTATACAGCTACCACATTTTATTAATACACTCATGTACTGATGGGCACGTATGTTGTTTCCACATCTTTGCAATTGTGAATTGTGCTGCTATAAACATTCTAGTGCAGATGTCTTTTTTATAGAATGTCTTTTTCCCTTTGGGTAGATGCCCAGAAGTGGGATTGCTAGATCAAATGGCAGTTCTACTTTGAGTTCTTTTGGGTATCTCCATACTACTTTCCACAGGGGTTGCATTATACTCGTTCGCAGTCCCACCAGCAGCGTATGAATGTTCCTATCTCTCCACACCCACGCCAACCTTTGTTGTTTTGGGACTTTTTGATGAAAGCCATTCTCAGTATTATTTGCATTTAATCATCCCTGATGATTAAAATGTTGAGCACTTTTTCATATGTTTGTTGGCTATTAATATATCTTGTTTTGAAAAGTTTCTGTTCATGTCCTTTGTCCACTTTTTAATGGAGTTGTTTGATTTTTTTTCTTGCTGATTGTCCTGAGTTCTATATAGATTCTAGTTATCAGCCCTTTATCGGATGTGTAGCATGCAAATATTTTCTCCCATTCCATAGGTTGTCTAATCTCTCTAATGATAGTTTTCTTGGCTGTGCAGAAGCTTTTTAATTTAATCAGGTCCCATTTATTTATTTTTGTTGTTGCTATGATTGCTTTTGGGGTCTTCTTCATAAATTCTTTGCCTAGGCTGATGTCTGTAAGAGTTTTTCCATCATTTTCTTCTAGAATTCTTATGGTTTCATGGCTTAGGTTTAATTAAGTCTGTTATCTGTCTTCCTCTTCCCTTCAGCCACTGCTGTGGTCACCTTCTCCTCAGCTCCCCTCTGCTCCTGCATTGCCGTCAGTCACAGGTTAGAAGCATGGTCTCTGCACCTCCACACCCTGCACTCCTGCTTCTGTCGTCGGCTCTGTGGTCTTGGGGACTCATTTAACTTCCCTGTGTCTTACTCTTCTCTGGGGGAATGGGATGAGGATAGTACCTGGCCCATACAGTTGTGTTGATAACTGAGTGAGAATGTTTATGAAGTGCTTGACTCGAAGGAGTAAGGTCCAGCTTCCAGTAATTTGCCCACTTTTAAAATGGGTTGTTTTTTTTCATGGATTTGACTGACTTTATGCTAATATCAATGCGATACTTTGGCCTTCTCTTAAGTATCCTGCTTCTCAATTATCATACGAAGGTTAAGTTTTCTTTGCACTTGTTTTGGTTGTCAGAAGAGAGAACCCTGAGAAGTTATAGTCAAAGTATTTTGCTGGAAAGTTAGTTGAGATAATTATTTTCTGTGTGGTTATAGTATAAATTTGAAATAATTCAGATTTGTGTTAAGTTTTAGGGTTTTTGTCCTTTTCATTGAATTGAAGAGTTTGATTATGTCAGAATTTACATAATTAGAAAGTTAAAACTAAAGTCTTCTCAAAGCAGTCTCCCTCCCACTCCCTTCCTAGAGATCACCATCCACATCAGCTTCTCCTTGTCCTTCCTGTCTTCATTGTAAAAGGAAGAAAATATGTGTTCTGGTCTGTTCTTGTTTCTCTTTCCCACCACAGTAGGTAATGCCTTCTCTCCAGTGCCCAAACCTTACTTTTTTCTTTCACCCACACCAGTTCACAGATACAGTCCTTAGGATTTTGTGTTCCCATACATTGTATGGAGGCACTGGAGTTTATTCAATCAGTGCCCTATGGGCGGGCGTTGGGCTGTTTCCAATCTTTTTGCTGCTATTTTTCTTTTCATTTTGAAATGATTTTAGATTCACGAGGAGTTGAAAATAGTAAATACCATGGCTTGGATGCTTCACCAGTGTCCCCTAATGGTGACATCTTATATAACAGCAGTTCCCTATCACAACCAGGGAATTGGCACTGGGCACTATTTTAGACTACAGACCTTGTTCAGTTTTCACTTTTGACATGCACTCGTGTGCGTGTGTTTTCAATGCCATTTGATCTCAAATACGGTATAGTGTAACCAGCAGCACGACCATCATTGATGTAGAGCTGTTTCATCACCAAGGTGAACTTGCTTGTGCTACCTGTTCTTAGTCACGTCCCCCACCTTGTCCCTGTCCCCTGGTGGCAACCATTAATTTGTTTTCCAGGTCTATAGTTTTGCTATTTTGAGGATGTTATATACATAGAATCATACAGTGTGTAACCTGTTATGACATTGGCTTTTTTTCACTAAGTTCATGCTCCTTTATGTTGTTGTATGGAGTTTATTTCTCTTTATTCCTAAGTAATATTGCATTGCATGGATAGACTAGAGTTTGTTTCATCATCCACCCATTGAAAGACATTTGGGTGATTCCCACTTTGGGGCTATTATGAAGAAAGCTCTTGTGAACCTTCATGTACATGTTTTTTGTGAAGATAAGTTTTCATTTTCTGGGATAAATGCTGAAGAGTGCAACTTCTGAGTCATGTGGTAAGTGCATGTTTAGTTTTATAGGAAACTGCCAAGCTATTTTGCAGAGTGGCTGTACCATTGTATAATCACACCAGCAATGTATGAGGTGTCCAGTTTCTTTGCATTTGGTGTTATTTTTCACTTTGTCCATTTTAACCGGTATAGTGATATTTCATTGTGGTTTTAATTTGCATTTCTCTAATGGCTAATGATGTTGATTCTATTTACATGTGCATGTTTGCTGTCCATATCCTCTCTTTGGATAATTTTCTTTTAGATTTGTTAAGGTTTTTTTTTGAAGAAAGATATGGCCTATCTTGGTGAATGTTCCATGTGTACTTAAAAATAATGTGTATTCTGCTTTTGTTGGATGGAGTATTCTAAAATGTCAGTCAAAGGTGTTGTTCAGTTCTACTACATCCTTGCTGATTTTCTGTTTCCTAGTTCTATAGCTTAGTGAGAGAGAAGTGTTGAAATCTCCAATTATAACTGTGGATTCACCTATTTTTCTTTTTGGTTCTGTGAGTTTTTGCCTTGTGTATTCTGAAGCTCTGTTGTTAAGTGCATACACATTTATGATTGTTATATCTTCTTGGTAAACTGAGCTTTTATTATGAAATATCCTCTTTAGCTCTGGTAATTGTCTTTGTTATGAAGTCTCATTTTTCTGTTATTATTATAGCTACTTTTTCTTGTTATTAGTGTGTCCATGGTATATCTTTAACCATACTTTTACTTTTAACATAAAATTTGTCATTTTTAAAACCTGTTTAGTATGGACATTTTAAAAAATCCATTCTGACAATTGGTGTGTTTGGATCATTTGTTTAAAGAAATTATTGATATGCTTTTAAGTCTAGCACTTTATTATTTGTGTTCTGTTTGTTCCCTCAGATTTTTTTTTTTTTTTTTTTTTTTACAGAGTCTCACTTTGTTGCCAGGCTAAAGTGAGTGCCGTTCAGCCTAGCTCACAGCAACCTCAAACTCCTGGGCTCAAGTGATCCTCCTGCCTCAGCCTCCCTAGTAGCTGGGACTACAGGCATGCACCACCATGCCCGGCTAATTTTTTCTATGTATAATAGTTGGCCAATTAATTTATTTTTTATTTATAGTAGAGACGAGGTCTTGCTCTTGCTCAGGCTGGTTTTGAACTCCTGACCTTGAGCAATCCGCCTGCCTCGGCCTCCCAGAGTGCTAGGATTACAGGCGTGAGCCACCACGCCCGGCCTGTTCCCTCAGATTTTTTCTTCTTCTTTCCTCTTTCTTACCTTCTGTGTGTTGTTTTCCCATTTTAATATTACATTTTATCTATTATGTTTTTGACTATATCTCTTTAAATAGTTTTTACGGTAGTTACTCTCAAGATTACAGTACACACACTTAACTTTCACAGCCTACCTAGAATCGATATTTTACCCTTTTGAGTGGAATGTGGAGATTGATCAGCATCCAGACCCCTTGATTCTTCCTCCGCTCTATGTTGGAGCTGTCTTATGTGTAACATTTACATACGTTAAAACCCCATCTGACAACTTTATATTTTCTTTCAGCCAGCCAACATATTTCACACAATTCAATAAAAGAGGAGTCTATCATTTTACACGGCTATTTACTATTTCTATTGATCTTCCTTCATTCCTGATGTCCAAATTTCCTTCTGGTATCACCTCTCTTCCTTTAACAGTTCTTTTAGAGTCCCTACATTTATTATTCCCATTTTTCTATCCTTATTTTCTAAATTTTTATTCTAAAAAATGTATTTTAAATTTTGCATTAAAAGCTCAAGCATCTACCAAAGTAGAAGAGTCAAGAGCCCCGTGTACTGCCTTCCAGCTTCTATGATCAGTCATGACCCATCTGTTCCTATTTATACCCTTCACATTCCCCAATCTCTTTACCCCTGAATTATTTTGAAGCAAATTCCATACCATGTGATTCATAAATATTTTAGTACATCTATCAAAGATAAGGATTCTATTAAAATATATAACTGTGCTGTTATATTTAAAATGAAACTCTGATTTAATTTCTTAATATTATAAATATCCAGATGTTTAATTTGCCCTGATGGTCTCACAAATATATTAAAAAAAAATCTGTTCACTTAAATCAGGTCCTAAATAAGGTGCATACATTCCCAATGGTTGACTGCTTAAGTCTCTTCATCTATAGATTTCCCTTCTGTCACTTTTTCCTTAAAATATATTTGTTGAAGAAATCTTACAAGTTGTTTCTTCTGTAAATTTTCCACATTCTGGGTTGTACTGATTACATACTTTTAGGGTCATTTAACAAGTTCCTGTGTCCCAGTATTCCCTGTAGATTATTATATCTAGAGGCTTGATCAGATTCAGAATTAATTTGTAGCAAGATTACTTTTATGTAGTCCTATTGTAGTGTTTGAATTTAAAATAAATTTTAAAGTATTTGGTATGTTTTAATCAATGAGGACGTTTATTCTTATTAATGCTTAAGTTGTCCCATCTTTTGTCATGACAGCCTCTTCAAGTTGGCTCCTGAGTCCTTTTACCATGCTTCTAGGGAGCTTCCTTCCTTTCCATGGAGTATATGTGTACTTTCCTTCCCTGGCCAGGAATCTACTGTTTTTTCAAGGAGCTATGGTTTCTTTTTGTGGAAAATGGTATGTACAGTCACAGTCTTGGCTTGGGTATTCCATCAGAGTCTGGCCTTAAGAACATATTGCAGAGTTCCCACTGGAGTTTCTCATTTTCAGGAAGGGTGTTTTTTTGTTTGTTATCAGTATAGCATTAGCATTCTCTAAAGGTGTTTGTGGATTTTTTTCATTTGCTGCTATTCTTCATTTTCAGTTATAAATTGCCTTTTGTTTACCTGCATCATTGTCAGATTATTGGCTACAGGCTGACATGGAATGATGTGTATTTGGATCAGTGGTATTTGGGGCCTGTAATTTACCAGTGGTGAGACACTTACTCATTGTGTTTCAAATAGGAATCATCCATAACTATTTTTCTCCAACAAACTTGTACACAACTCATCATTGAATGTTATTACCAAGTTCTTTTTCTACTGAAGAATGGGAAGAGGTGGGCAGAGTAACTGTAGGGCATGTTGACCCATTGAAGTGAGCCATGGTCAGTATCATTTCAGAGTCACTGCTTTCACCTGAAGGGAGGAGGCACTAGTGGAGAGATTTCTAGCAAGCACCTAGTGAAGGGGAAAATTGGGGACTGGGAATATGAAAGCTTCTGCTGCCAGACCCACATACAATGTGCTTCTAGGCCAAAGAAATTCTGCTCTCAGAAGTATGGCCCTGATACTTTGCAGAAGCCAGGCTCAAGTTTCCTTCTACACTCAAGGATGCAGCTAATTGGGCCTGTCCTTTCATCTTCTCCCTCTAGCTTTGAGAGACATGGCTGAATTCCCTAATGACCATGAACAGGAATGGGCCATGTGGCGTGCTACCTGTGTTCTTGGCTTTAACTTACAAGTGAGTGGTCACCTGCCTCAGAGCCTGGTCCCTGGTGCCTCCTCTTGTCACCCTCACCCATATCCTTGTTCCCAACTTGATTACATCTGTTACCTGGCCTCAGTCACTCAGCCTCATCCTCTGCTCCCCCACCGCCATCATGCTGTTTCCTCCTGTGCATCCTATCTTGTTCTCACCTTTTTTTCTCCTCCCTCTCCTCCACCCACACATCTTCTGCTGGGTCTTTCTGTCCTTCCACCAATTCCATTCCATTCCATTCCACATGCTTCAGTCTCCATTCACCTTAAGAAGCAGTTACTGGACACTCACCCTGGCCAGGCACCATGCAAGGTGCAGTAGTGAATATGTAGATGACCAGGACAGTTCTCTCAATGCCATGATGAACGTACAAACCAAATGTGGTGGGAAGACTATATGGAAACACAAATGATCTCAAGTGAAGGAATCTGAAAAGATTCATGGAGGAGGACACATTTGAGCTGGGCTTGAAGGATGAGCATGGTGTCAAAAGGCAGAGGAAGGGGAGTAGTGTCAGGTCCTGCTGCAGCTATGCTGGTGTATGTGCTTTCCAGCCACACCTCATCTGATTCCTTCCCTGTTCCCCACACCTAGTCTCAGCACTCAGGTCTCTGGCACACGTGTCCCCTCCTCCTAGTTTTTCTTCGGTGACAGCCCAGCCTGAAGGAGTGTCTGGGATAACTTGTGACTTCCAGCTCTCCTCCCCAGATGGAAATTCAGTTCACCTGGCTGGGGCAGCTGGTGAGGATGCTGGCCACATGCTGCCAGGACCCAGTGGACAACACCTGTTCCTTGTCTGCCGAGGCCGTCTACAACCTCTACTGTATCTTCCTGCTGCAAAAGCATATGCTCATCCCTCTCTCATCCCTGCCCTCCACCCTCCCCACACACTCTGTTCCAGAAGAGTGAGGGCCTACAAGTTACTTGAGCACTTTATTTCCATGGAGGGACTTGCCCCCAAACACCTGCAGTTACCCTCTTGGGACAGGTCACAACATGGACTTTTAAAAGCACACAGATGTCTGAGCTCAGTCTGGAGTCAGAACTTCCATGGTGAAAGCCAGGCACCTGATACACAACCTGGATTTGGAACACTCAGGAGGCAGAGGCAGGAGGATCGCCTGAGCCCAGGAGTTTGAGGTTGCTGTGAGCAAGGCTGACGCCATGGCACTCTAGCTCAGGCAACAGAGTGAGACTCTGTCTCAAAAAAAAAAAGAATCTTGATTAAACTTGTTTAATCTTGGTTAAACTAGCTACTAGTTAAACAATAATTTTGTAACAGCTCAAGAACTCTGTAAAAACACTTCCACTGCATATTTTATTCAGAAAAAACAAAAAGATAAAGAAGAAACAAAAATCCTGGTCATTTGCAGTATCTATCAGCTTTCAATTTGGCTCTCCTGTTTAAACAAAGACAAATAATGAAAAAAAATTAATCTATGCAAAACATACCATAAATAGTCAATTGCTACCAAATATAAAACTCATGCTTAAAATTTATGTGTTCAATTTTGGTTATTATATTACCACAACACTTACATGAAAATATTTTATTAAAATTTTACTTTTCAATTTTCTTTCTATACAAAATGGATTCTATTCTTATGAAAGTTGTCTTCTAATAGTTAACAAATGTTGCCTAAGGGTTTTTCAATCCATAATAGCAATTTTAATTACTTCTGCATTTAACTATGCCCTAAATTTTTATTTAATGGAGTGGCAATGCCATATTTTTACCAGTGATAAAGTTATGAGATAGAGACCTTATTCTAGTGTCCATCTCCTGATTATACTTTACATTCTCTTCTTGATTTCTTAGAACTAGATACATATTATTTGTTCAGCTGAATGAAATTATTAGCTCATTTATTGACTCCAGGTAAGAACTTGGAAATATATAATTAAGCATTGCCTTTATCAGGTAATATGAGCATCTAGAGATGACCAACATCTGGCACTTTCTTGATTTATAGTTGTAAGCTGATAGCTAAACCCCCTTACTTATTTTTCTGTGTTGTAAACCTAGGTCATTACTTATCTAAATAGGAATAGTAAAAAATAAATACTAATAATGTACTCTGATAAATATCCTGCACCATTCTGAATCTTACTTAAAACTGCTTCAACTTCATTTATATGAAAAGTTGGAAAAACAACTTCAACTTTTATATTTAGTCATTTTTTAACTGACCTATTTTTATTTCACTTTAACTGACCTATTTTTATTTTACTTTAAGGAAACTGTAATAACTACTCTAGTAGAATCCACAGAATTTTGACATTAGTCAAATAACTATTTCTTTTCTTTTCTTTTTTTTTTTTACCTACAGCTGCTGGAATGGGAAAGTAACTATTAATACTTCCTAACTCTGGTTCTAATAGCTATAAAAAGATGATGATGAATAGATTTATAAGGTAGATACAGTCACACCTGAATTTCTTACAATAAAGTATACAAATACTTAGATTCTGGTCGTAATTTTTAGGTATTCTTACTTGGCAATCTTTTCTCAGACTTATGTCCTAGGTATATTATTAAATTCAGATTTACAAATAAAGACAAAAATTTGAAAACTAGTAATTTAAAAAGAACACTGGTTTTATGCATGCCATTTCTACTGGCTACTGAAAATAGGTGAAGTAAATTTATATCTACCTGTCCAGAAGCGTCTCGTGCAAAAATCCATCTTTCCGAGCCTTTTTAAGAATTTTACTGTCTTCTTTACTTATTTTAAGTTTGTGGTCTTGGAAGCTCTGAAATTTCTTTCTGTAAAGAAAATGTCTTCATTGAAAATATCCCGAACACTGACTATACATGTTTTACTGATGAACTTATAAATACTGTTAATTTTTCACTTATTAAAAGAATGTAATTAGAATGTTTTCAATAACCTCCAGCTTTTCAACTACAAAGATGACCCTTTGTGACCCACCATCAAAAGGGCCATTGTTTGGGCAGCCCCATTTCTATCAGGGCATGCCGCTGGAGTCCCTGTGTCCTGGCCACCAACAGCCTTTGGTTGGCTTTATAGCCATCCTATTAATGAATACAGAAAATGACTAACCCAAATGCCTCCAGCTTTGAGAGCCAGCAGGATGCTTAGGAAAACTGAAGCTTCTAGAGCCTCGAGAAAAGAAAAGCATTTAGCTCAGTGCTTTGTCCTGGAGTGTACATTATGCTCCCTCTCCCTTCTTGTCCTTAAGGTATTTTATTTTAAAAGCACCTTGAGCAGTGCTTCACGGTCAAATCTGTAGGTCTAAAAGGAGAAGAATACATACACATAATTGATTTCACACTGTTTCACATTTCCTTTGTCTTCTTCTGGGATGTCATCTTTTTTCTTGGTTTCTCTTTCAGCACAGGACCGAATCTGGATATGAGAATCCAACAGGTTAGACATTTATCTCCCACCCTCCCCACATTACTTCTTGTACAAGAACATTCTAGGTGATTTCTTAAGTAAAAGAAGAAAATAATTAACTTAGCAATTAGATTCAGAAAAAGGTTCTGGATATGTGTTTTTTTTATATGTATGATTTATATAAATAATTGCTATTCTATGCTTCTCTACAGCCCTTGTGTCAGAAACACTAAAGAGAAAATTATTTGAAAAACATTTAACAGATCAGGTCCTACTGAGCAACTAGGCAATAATTTAACTAATTTAATTTTGGCCCCAAAGTAGATACACTAGGATCAAATTATCCCTGGTAGATAGTGTTCATTATTTTATTAGGTTGAAAGCTTCAGACAGTAGCTATTTTGTTTTGTACAGACTATTACCAAATATGTCAGATTTTTAACATTACATAATTTGTTTTTATATAATTGGAATCCACTCCTTTTAAATGCTTCTTATATCCTCATATGTTTAAACAGATATTCACTATCACATGACATAAATTAATTGATCTAGATACAATTAGGATTGTCTTTGAAAGTAGCAATTTGCAACCCAAAGGACCCATGTCTCCAAAGTGATCTCTGTGGCACAGAATCCAATTCCAACATGACTTATAAAGTGATGACCAATAACTTGTTTGTGCCAATAACATGTGTGACAGTGATGGTTAGAGAGGTTCTAGAAGATCTGGGAACATTCTCAGCGAGGGCCTGTGGCACAGCACTACTTTTGGTAAGATGGATCTGTGTTCTGGTAGGTAAGACCTCTCATAACGGTGGATGACTGGCACAGAGTAGTAGACACTGCAGTGTAAATGGCAAGGGGAAAGAGTCCTGGATACTCATTGCTCAGAGCTTCCAAGTTCTTGCCTAACCAAAGAGACCCAGGGAAATCTGACAGGTACTTCATCTGAAAAATTATGGAAAGTACACTAAAATTTCTAATTCCTATGCTGTCTTCTTGACTGGTATCTCTCTCTCTATCAACCAACTCCAGAAAATGAAATAAAGAGTTGACAGTATTGTTATTCTTATTTATAAGATTAGCAATATTTTTGAAGGTACAAAGAATACTAAAAGACTAAATTATCATGAAAATCAAGAATATTTTAAGAAAAAAATCAAATATATGATAGAAAATCTGACACAAAGCATGTATAGATATTTAATAGATGCTTTCAAATTATGCTGGTAGTAGAGAAAACATAACACAGATTTTTATGATTCATTTATTAAAATGAAGAATATTTTGGAAAAGGCATTTTTCCCCCCACCTCTTACAGCTTTCCACTCTGGCCTTGTACACAGCAAATCTGGATCAGACCGACTAGCCACAACCTATGACTCCCGACGAGACACGTTAACCAAGGTTCAGAATGCTCTGTACTGGGACTGAATGCCAAGAAAATGGAAAACAACGTGTAAAGAAGGTAGGAGTTATTCTTTAGATCTTTAGATCTTGATCTTTAGTTATTCTTTAGATTCTTTAGATCTTGATGTACACACGTCATTAAAGGCCAGGTGACTTTTGTAAATCTGAAAAATTAAGCCTTAAAAAGGCCTTCATCAAATTCCAGTTAATGCCCTGATTTACTTAAGTTATCCTGCAGTTATCTATTTATTTAGAATGTCACCTTGAAGATGTCTGTATAACTTTTATAATGAAGTAAAATAAAGAATAAGATTAGGCGATTTACCCTAGAATAAGGGACTTTTATTTCTGGCTTAGTGACACACATGAAATACAAACAAACAAACAAACATTTGTTTTATGTGATTCATGCTTTTCATCATATAAAGATGACTTGAATTTATTCATAAAAAGATAAAAAATTTGAGGGCTAAAGCCTTAGAAATTCTGGGTATGTCTTTTATGTTTTTTACAGTGACTAGCACATCATGGAAGCTTGGGCATTAAGCAAACCCAAAACAATCTGGTAACTTTCTCACACACGTTGGCAGGTGTGTAAGTTAGTACAGCCTCCATGAAAGGGAATCTGGCAGTAACTAACAAAATCACAAATGCATAAATCCCTTGACCCTATAATTCTGCTTTTGGGAATTTATCTTCAGCTCCACCTGCATATCTACAGATTGATGCATATTCAAAGTTATGTGCTATAGCACTGTTTGTAGAAGCAAAAGACTGGCAACAACCTAAATTTCCATCTATAAGAGACTGATTAAAGGGAGAGGGACAGGAACACGGTAAATGGAAGACAGGTGAACAAGCTGGATGGGAAGAGTATGTCTTTATATGTTTTTACTGCAAAAAGTTTGAACCATGAGCACATTTTATCTATTTAAAAACTAACTTTTTAAAATGCAGCCAAGAAGAAGAAGAAGAAGAAAAAAAAAAAGTCTAAAAAGCATGTGGAACTACTGAGAAAAAGACACTAATACCTGGTGGTAATAGCAAGGTAGCTTATAGATGTAGTAATTTCTCTACTAAATTGTGCAAACAATTATGAATTATGGGATTTATGATTTAAAATAGAGCTTATTTGGAATATCATAAGAAGCTATTAATTAAATCTTTAAAGTGACAGTAAATGATAATTCAATGTTTTAAAGATATGCAGTCACATCAGATATGTGACATGTATTCATCTGTAGAAAAATATCATGATTACCTTTATCATTTCTTCTTCTCCTGCTGTTTTACTTTTTGCTTCTATATCACCTGCTTCATTGCATCTAATAAAGCAGCTATTCGAGGCCAATAAAGCCATTTTCCCCTATGTTAAACAAAACAACAGAAATAGAGCAATGAGAATAACTGCAGAAGAAATTTTCATTAAGCCTTTAGACTAAATTAATTTTTCCTCCTTGATTCTAAAATTAGGAAAAAGAACTTGGAGAAAACCTGGAAAATACAGAAACATACATAAGAGAAAACAAAAACCACCTATAATTTTACTGCTTAAAGATTATAATGATAAACATTTTTAGCTTATTTTTCTAGTAGCACTAAATTCTAACTAGATGAAATAGAATTGTTTCTTTGGCCTAAAAGATCTCTTGAGGAGATAACTGATTTAGTTTGGTTTTTAAAAAATCCAGTTTTAAAGACAATAAAAATATGAATAATGTGTAATAATTTATACAAATAGTGTTTTAGGTAAAATTTTTCTTCATAATTAGAAAATGTAAAAAAATATATAAAATACCTCTGATGCCTTTGAATTTAAGTATCAATGTTTGAGGAACTTTTTAGTTGTTTAATGTTTGATGTATTACACTGATTTCTATTAAACAAAACTTTGAAAACCAACTTTCTTATGTATCTAAACCTGGATTATAAATTTGGTTAATTAAATTCCCTTAACAAATGTAAGGTTTAATTATAATTTGTATTTGGCTGATTCTTTTGGAAAACTCAGAATACCTTAAACATCAAAGTGTTTACAAATATAATAATTATTAAATGTATTAATAATCTTATATCCAGTTACAAAAGTGCTAATAGCAGATGTGATTTGATTTCTTAGTTCAGTGGGCAGGGCCGGGCTGGGCTGTCACCTGATCGACTCAGTGAGCACTGGGGCACTGCTGTAGGGTCCAAGGTGACTGAGACCTGTGCTGCAGATCACTCAGCTGTATCCCTTTCTGCAATAATGTTTAACTTGTTACATCAGGGTCTTTTCAGTGTCTCTTTCATTTAAATTAAAATTTTGAAATTTAGTGTCTTTCCTAAAAATAAAATGAAATGAACTTTCCTAAAGTTTTGTGTCATTATTAAAATAGTATCTGACTCATCATCTTGGTCTCATGATACACTGCCCTTTTCTGTTGGTTTAATTTTTATCACCAATAACTCTCATAATTAGTAAGATCATCAGAAGAGGTTGCAACTCATTAGTGGATCATAAAATCAAGTTAGTGGGTTCTGACCAGTATCAGGAAAAAAACAGACATAGAAGTGGTAAAAGAGAATAGAAAATATCAGAGTGCATAATACATGGATACGTAAGTACTGTTAAATACGACTCTTGCTTCAGTTATACACGTATGTGCACCATGTACAATGTAAAAATGTATTTCTCACTGAGTTGGGATCAAAATATTAACAGTTTGAAAGTCACTGACGCAAAATTTTATCCTAGGGGATTAAAAGAATGAGTAAGTAATCATTGCTTTTTGGCGGGATGTTTGGCTAATTTATCACCTTGAAAAATGCTGTTGAATCCTATTTTGAATATGTTATTGTATATTACCAAGGCTGCTACTCAGCTACAGAATTTCTTTTCCACCTGGTTGTTTTACCTGGTGCCCACTGGTCCCTACTGTTCTTGATATGGCATCTACTTTTTGAAGATTGTTTAGCTCTTTCATAGTTTTGTTCAATCTTTACTGCTTTACACAAATTGAAAAAGATATGATGTATTCTGTATCAACAAAGACTTAACAAAACACCTACATATCGCAATTGCCTACTTATTAAAATTATAAGAATTAAGATATTATCTCCATCCTTCTCTCATATTAAAATGATCTTTTGGAAACTCTTTGTTCTTTTTTTGAATTTCATTATGAACTGAAGGACTATTACAGACTATATATATTTCAATGAACCATTACTATTATTTATTATTTTATGCACAAACTATTATAAATTGATCTTAGTATTCTCCATTGTTCTCTAATGTTTCTGAAAGCATCCATGATTTCTAATAACAAGAGGATACTTCTGAACTATCCTGTGTTCCTACCCTGAGATTTAAAGTTGGCTATTATCTCAAAAGTCCTGGTTCTTTAACAGAGAATAAGACAGACTCACATCTAAGCACTCAGGGTATACAGGGATGATGGTGGGGAAAAGTACTACTGATATTTTTGTTGAACTGTTTTTTGAGATCTCTTTAAAGTTTTAAATTCACACTGATGTTTTACAATTTAATGTATTATATTATTGTACCCTACTTGTTCTGGCTTTTTAAAATACGTTGTTGACTGTTTAAGATTTTCTCTTACACTGATAGGAGACTTTTATAAACAGTAATAGCACTTACATCTTGAAAGACTGGTTCCCACTGTTCTCTTGGTCCAATTGCATCTGAACGCCCAACAACAAGTCCATCTGAATTTATACCAAGGTATTTTCCATAGCCAGATTTTAGGGCAATTCTTTACATTAATAAAAGAGATAAGATGTTAAGAACCGAGAGAAAGAAAATTAAATATGGAACATAAAAACATACATAAAATTTTAGACTGGACATATTCCAAATGTTCAAAAGCTACACGTGGCTGGCTACTTGCTGCCATATTGGATACTGCAGTTCTATATACACAGCTTTGTATTCTGCTTTTTGATATTTTATATTATGTATCATATAGCAAACATTTTCCTAATTCATTATTCTTCAAATATCCTACTCTTAATAGTTATAAATGTTATATTACAGATAAAAGTTTATTTTTCTGCTATTATAAACAGTCCTACTGCTATCTTTTCTGTAAACAAAATTGCTGAATTTATCCTTAGAAGAGCTTCTAAAGAAAAAAATTCTTGGATCGAAGGATATCAACTTTAAAGCACTCATTATAAGCCGTCAAACAGTGCTTTCTAGAAAAAGGTGTATCAACTAACATTCTCTCCTCAGATCAAGAGAGCATCTTTTGTATCACGGGCTTTGTAAACATTATGCCTTTAAAACAATCCTTGAAAGCCTGATATGGAACAAATAGTATCCGATTTAATTTGTATTTTAGTTATTAATTAGAGTGGCATTTGCATTTCTTTTCCTTTCCTTTTTATTTTTCAAATTATCCGGTTATGTCCACTGTCCATTTTTCTACTGAAGTCTTATTGCCATTTTTCTATTGGGGTCATTAGTGTTAGGAATTCAGTATATACATTAGAAGAATAAGAACTCACTGCTTATTAAGGTTGTTGCAAATATTTTCCTCACTTCTTAATTTTATTATTATTTTTATTTATAACAATAAAGGAGTTTGTATCTATTGATTTCTTTCCTTCCTCTGCTTTTATTCTTTAGAAGTCTTTTACCATACTTCTCAGACTTTCAAAGAAAAGTACAGAAATAATCATCTTAATATGATTTTTTTAAAAAATTATGATTTCCAATTTTTTACCTTACCAATCTCTAGGAAATTGACTTTATACTCATTTATAGGTTAATGATAATACAACACAAATCATTATGTTGATGTAACTAATTGCTAGATAGAAGAAATTCACTTTCAACATGTACAACCCAAAGTATCACTCTGCACTTCTGCATTGAGACACTAAAAAGGTCATCTTGTAAAATGATTGTCAAAATAATGAGTAAACACTCTTTTTATCTTTATGATGATATAACATTCTCTGCTGGTTTTGATGATATTCCTTTCTTTTATAACCCCGTTGATCTCCTGACTTCTGATCAGCGAGTTTATATATCACAGTAACACTGGGCCAGGTTTTGTATTACGCTTGTTTTCTTCACATGATCTTTGTAATCTATCTTGTTTGGTCTGTGACATTAGGAAGCTTCATTTTTTTAAACTTACATATTTTTTCCCATATTTCCTAGCCTAATACTAGGCTGGAAAAATCCAGCCTAGGAAAGGATAGGAAATCCACTAAAAGTAGATCACAAAATCCACTTTTCAAAAAAAAATTATTTTGTTTTTTACATCAAAATTACTCTATGAGCTTAAGTCAGCTAAATATTGAAACTTTTAATGAAGGAAATTAAAAAATAAACGGTTATTACTTAGAGTTCAACTCAAGCTTACCTGGAATCAGACAATTTGACAGCTGTGAACTGCTCTGGGGGACTAGGGCCCTCATCAACTATTGAAGAAAAAACATTTGAAAATAAATTTGACATATGGTATAAATATAGATATGATTATTTTGTTTTAAAAATGTAGCTCTTTTCTTTTACACTTCTAAGATATTTTTTACTTTTTAAAGTATAGTCACAAATAAGTACAATATTCTAAAAACTAAATGCTTTCATTTATTTAAGAGATGGCCATTCTGACTAAATGATACTGCTTTTTACCTTCTAATTACTTCATATCTCATCAGCGCTTCCTCTGATGGGATAAAGAGAATGAAAAACTTTAAATTGTTAAATACACCCAGGTTAGTTTTGGCAATAAATCTGGGGTGGAGGGAGAAGAAATCCAAACCTTTGACTCAATCAGATTTTATTTTTTCTTTCCATTTACTATTTTAACTATTCATGTTGTTTCTGATTTCCAAAGATACTCTTCTGCAACTATACAGAATGTTTTCAAATGCTTTTACTGGAAAGAGGGAGTTGCCAATGGTTGATACAAATTGAGGAAGGAAAAATGAGGAGTCAAATGTAAGGGCTCCATTCCTTTGGAATATGCTTGAGACTAGTTAGAATTTGGCCTCCCTTCCATTGCTTTTCCCTTCCATTGCTTCCACCAGACACAAACCTTCTTTATGTGGAGCTCCCAGTGTAAAAAGACCATTGTCAAGTGCATGTATATAGGTTCCTTTATCCATTTCAATGGCTATGGTTCCTGAAATTTCACCAAAGTTTGTTACTGTCCACCAGATTCCTAAAAAATAAAATCAATGTTAAACTTTATGTTTTAGCTTTGACACAAGGTTTTTTTTTAATTGTTGCTGTAACTTATCTTTTAAAATTTTTTATTTTGTGATTGTAAGAAATAATACAGAAACCTCATATACCTTTTACTCACTTTCTCCCAATTATGACATCTTACATAACTATTTTACAATGTCAAAACTAAGAAACTGACATTGATATGATCCATGAACCTTATTCAGATTTCACCACTTTTACAAGCACTCGTTTGCGTAGATGTGTGTAGATTCATCTGACTACTACTGCAGTCAGGATTAGGTTCTTGTGACAATATAAAATGATACAGAGAACAGTCTCTCTCAGCCCAGGTATGGTGGCTCACGCCTGTAATCCTAGCACTCTGGGAGGCCGAGGCGGGCGGATCGTTCGAGGTCAGAAGTTCGAAATCAGCCTGAGCGAGACCCCGTCTCTACTAAAAATAGAAAGAAATTAATTGACCAACTAAAAATATACATACAAAAAATTAGCCGGGCATGGTGGCACCTGCCTCTAGTCCCAGGTACTCAGGAGGCTGAGGCTGTAGGATCGCTTGAGCCCAGTGTTTGAGGTTGCTGTGAGCTAGGTTGACACCATGCTACTCACTCTAGCCTGGGCAACAAAGTGAGACTCTGTCTCAAAAAAAAAAAAAAAAAAAAAAAAGAAAACAGTCTCTCTCATTCCAGACCCCATCCAGCCATCCATGCCTGCTTTCCAGAGGCAATGCTCATTATATTATGGGCTCCTGCAGAAAGACTTTCCAGCACATAGCAGTCTTAACTATGATTTTAGATTAGAAGCAAAATGAGCAGAATCTATGTCTATGTATACTAATTTCTAATTCACCAATGGAAATATTAAACTCTAGAGTAAGACCATTGAAGCAATTATTGCAAAAGTTTATATTTTAATGGAAAAAGAATAACCTAAAATCTTCTCCTGAATGTACTTTAGTTAGAGTAGAAATCAGTCAACCATTAACAGGATATTAGATGGTATTAAGGAATTCTTGTTAATTACCTTATCAGCAAGGTCTGATAATGACAGTGTTATGTAATTTCCTATTCAACTAAACATTTAGGTTTTTCATAATTAATTTAAAAGATAAGTAAAACTTTAGCTAAAATGAAGTTATACCCTTACCTAACATCAAATACAGAAATTAACTTACAATAAATAGATCAAAGACCTAAATGTGAGAGCTACAACTATAAAACTCTTGGAAGAAAACAGGGGAAAAAGCTTTATGACACTGGATTTGGCTATGGTTTCTTGGATATGACATGAGGGGAACAGGTAACAAAAGAAAAAAATAGACAAATTGGACTTCCTCAGAATTAAAAACTTTTGTGCACGGAAGGACCACTGTCATCACAGTAAAAAGGCAACCCACAGAATGAAGAAAATATTTGTAAATTACATATATTATAGGAATAAAATCTAGTATAGAGAACTCCAAAAAAAAAAAAAATCCCAAAACAAAAAAACAAAACAAAAAATCCACACAATTCAAAATTTGGCCAAGGACTTAAATAGACATTTCTCTAAAGAAGATATACAAATGGCCAATAAACACATGAAAAGATGCTCAGCATCACTAACCAGTAGGGAATGCAAATGAAAACCACAATGAGATACCACTTCATACCCATTAGGAGGCCTATTATCAAAATAAAACAGAAAAACACATGTTGGCAAGGATGTTATTTAATCACTTCCAAGATATATTTTACTTTTTAAAGTACAGTCACAAATAAGCAACTTTTGTGCACTGCTGGCGGAAATGTAAAATGGTGTAGCTGCTATGGAAAGCAGTATGGTGGTTCCTCAAAAAATTAAAAAGAGAATTATCATATGATCCAGCAATTCACTTCTGAGTATATACACCGAAAAATTGAAATCAGGGTCTTGAATAGATATCTGTACATCCATATTCACAGCAATATTATTCACAATAGGCAAAAAGGTAGAGGCAAACCCAAGTGTCCATTGCTAGATGGATGAATGAATAAACAAAATATGGTACATACATATCATGGGATGTTATTCAGCCTTAAAAAGGAAGGAAATTCTGACATATGTTCTAATATGGATGAACCTTGAAGACATTATACTAAATGAATGCATTAAATATGTATGTTACTAAAGTAACGTAACACAGTATTTGCCAATATCAGCCCTGGGGCTTTTGGCTATAAAAAAGCACTGGGCATTACAATTGCCTATCTCTGAAAGTCAGGTTACAGCCAAATCGATGTATGTGTATGCTGCAGACACCTAAGCTGAATCTGAGAATCCATTCCAAAACATTACTTGCCTTTTTTTTTTTTTTTTTTTTTTTGAGACAGAGTCTCACTTTGTTGTCCAGGCTAGAGTGAGTGCCGTGGCGTCAGCCTAGCTCACAGCAACCTCAAACTCCTGGGCTCAAGCGATCCTCCTGCCTCAGCCTCCCGAGTAGCTGGGACTACAGGCATGCGCCACCATGCCCGGCTAACTTGCCATTTTTTAAAACAAAATATAGACACATGCTTAAGGTTATTTCCTTTTAAATCTTATGCAGACTGCTGTGTTGTCTTACAACGCATGACAAAGCTTGTCTCATATTATTTAATTTTTTTATTTAGCTGTTCAGAAATAAGGCCTGTTATTTCTAAACAGGTAGGAACCAGGTCTATCTTGTTTAGGGATATCTGGTACAGGGAAGGCACTGAATGCATGCAGAAAAAAGCATTTGATAGAATTAAACCCCTTTAAGATAAAAACTCCCCAAAAATTAAGTTTAAAAGGAATGTTCTCATTTTGATAAAGAGTACCTATGAAGATTCTACAGCTAACATCACACCATATGGCTTGAAAGCTTTTCTGCCTGAGACTGGGAACAAAGCAATTATGTTCATTCTTGTGACTTCTGTTCAACATTATAGAAGTCCTGGTTAGTATAATAAAGCAATAAAAATAAACAAAAGACACAGAGATTGGAAAGAAAGATGCAAAACTATAGTCACAAGAAACATGATTGCAGATTTCTTAGTTTTCTATACAAGCAAAAACACTAAAAGTAATAATAAGTGAATTTAACATCTCAGACTATAGGGTCTATACACAAAAATCAATTGTATATCTATATACTGACAGCAAACAATTGGAAAATAAAATTTAAGAATTCTCGTTATAGTAGTACAAAATTATAAAATACTTAACAGTAAGTTTTAAACAGACATGCAAGACTGCTACACTGAAAACTACAAATTATTGAGACTCAATAATGAAATGTTGATTCTCCCCAAGTGATCTAGATTTAACACAACTCTCCCAGAAAATCCAACAGGCTTTATTGTAGGAACTAATAAATTGATTCTAAAATTCATATGTAAATGTAAAAGACCTAGAATAGTTAATCTTGAAAAAAGAAGTTAAAAAAAAAAAAGAAGTTCAAAGTTGGAGGACTTACACTACCTGATCTCAAGACAGGTAGCTTTGTACTATTCTATATTTTTATATATGTTTAAAGGTACTATAATTTATGAAGTTTCAAAATGCAACTTGCCAAGTTTTAAAAGAGAAAAAAAATTGCTTTAAAGTATAGGTATGGAAAGTTAAGGACTAAATGGAAAACAGACTGGTTAAATGTGTTTGGATCTGTTTATTTATGATATCATTTATAGGCTACCTTAATGTTCTATTCTATTGAAGATTTCATTGATTTTCTAATTTATAGAATAATGATTTTTACTGTGAATATACTTCCTTTAGAGACAAATAACTGACTTCTACAACTAAGATGAACACATGTCCAGAGAAAATAACTTATAAAACATATTTGTTTAAATAATATTTCTTTACATTAGGCCTTTACAATTATGTATCAGAATCTCTGCCTATTAAGTAGTCTAACGGTGCCTACTGAATCAGAGAGTTATGCTTCCTCTCTCTTGTGCTTTGTGCCAATAATGAAAAACGGCATTAGTGTCATCTATTGTGCTAAAAAATAAAAGGAATCTACAGCTGTAAAACGTATTTGAGCACTTTAAGACAAATATGAATAAATCATATACATCTAACCAGGAAAATATTTTAAATGACATCTCAACAAATGTTAACTTTTCTCAGAATAAAGCATTGAAAACTGACTCACCAACAATATCAAGTTGGGTTTCTTCATCCTCTTCTCTTTTTCTCTTCTTATCTTTGCTCTTTTTCTTCTTACTACAGGAGATAATTTATACTGGTGAGTTTAGGTATACTGATTTGTATGTTAAATATCACAAGATGAAAGCTGAGAAGAGTCTTTTAAGCTATACATCCACTTATAAATTACTGATTTATGATGATTTACACTGATGGGCCCTCTTACAGTACTGAGAAGTTGCTTCTGGCCCTGTACATATTGTGTTACAGTTGACAGCAGACTCTGGAGCCAGACTGCCAGGTTTTAAATCCTGATTCTGTCACTTCTTAGCTCTGTGATTTTTGAAAGAGGTACTAAATCTCTCTCTGATTCATCTCCAGGGCAGTGCCTTCAGCTCGCTTCTGGATACTTTCTTTCCACTTTACCTAAAAGTACCGAAAACATTCTGTACAGTCAACAGCAGACAAATCTACCACCTAAAAAAGAGGTGCAGATCTGAGTGGACAGGTGTCTTTCCCTAAACAGCTAATAATCATAAGTCACCATGACAACCTCCTTGCATTTGGCTCAATTTATTTACTGCACACACTTTACCTCATTTAATCCTCATAATTCTTTTAAAGTAAAATGAGTACGCGGAAGCTCAGACATATTAACCAATTTGCTCTAAGTCGCAAAATTAGCAAATGGTGGAGTCCAGATTCGAGTCCATATCCCTATCAAAGACCATATCCTTAACCACTATGTGATTCAGCCCAGTTCCACTCTGCATACAAAAAATGAATCAAGAATATCTCTTGGGGGAAGGGAGACAATGGTGAAAATAATCATCCTCAGGGAAGGAAGTTATTATGACCTGCATGATCAGACTAATGTAGACCCACCCCGCAGAAGTCTGCAGGGAGGCCTCAGTGCACCCAAACTTGTGGCTCTGGGGCTGCTGGCCCCCCTCTCCCATCTACCCTTACAGCGCGCGACAGCTTCTCCAGCCACGCACGAGCGGGGGGAATTGAGTCGCAGCCTCGGTCGGGCCCAGACAAGAGGCCAGGCCCAAGCGATGGGAGGCTAAAGAGACAGCCCTGAACGTTCCCAGGAGTCTCGCGGGGGACCAGAGGGTGTCAGAAAAGAACACAAGAGTCTCCCGCACGAGCTTAGGGTCTCACCTCTTAGCCTTCGTCCCCTTGAGCACGAGTTTGGTGGACTTCACATAGGAGTATTCCGCCATGGTTCTGAAGAGACCAAATACCTGACCTGGAGCAGAAGCGGCCGGGGAGCGGGGGGACAAAGGTGGAGGCCAAGTGCAAACTCCAGGAAAGCATGCGAAACGTCGGTAGCCACCAGGCTTCTCTACCGGGTCCTTTGCCTTTCTCGCCCGAACATTGAGAGTCGGGAATAGAGAATTCTATTTCCTGTTTACTGTCAGGGGCGCTACCGCAAGCGCAGAGGGCCAAGTTTATCAGCGTGCGGCCGCTCCCTCCGGCTCCCTCTTGCGGAACCCGGAACAACAGCGCCTCCCGAAGGCGGAAGCCCGCGCGGACGCGCCCCCTGGCGGACGGGGTCGGCGTCGCCTCCCGCGGGCCTCGGGCGGCCGGCGACTGGCCGAGGGGAGGTGACCAGGGACCCGACCGGCGGTCCGCGGCGGGCTGGGCGCGCGCTGTGAGTCCGGGCTCCGGCGTGCACGGCTTCATGCAGCTCCACGAACCTTATCGCGTTGTTTTACCTGGGGAGACGTGAATAATGTGCAGGCAACAATTAGGGAACGATGTCCAATATAATTAAGTGTTGAATTTGAGGTCGCAGGTGAATCAGGATTGAGGTGGGGCGGGGTTTGGCCCTGAAGACTGAAGACTTGGGAGAGGCTCTCCTGGAGTTGGCCACGTGGTTTCCCTGCCTGCTCCAATCTCTTCTGTGAATAATTCTCCCCTTCCAAACTCCCTTCCGTGGTGCTGCTCGAGTGACCTCCGTAGATCACTATTCCCCTATCTAAAGTTTATTAAAGGAGGCCCAGGTTCCCGGGCGGGATGGGGCGTCCTAGCATCAGTTAATAAATTACCGATGACCCGTTACAGAAATTAACAAAGGCACTTTAAAATGTTTTGCATGTGTGCAGTTATGTGAAATCTCACAAACTTTACATGTCACATATGTAAAGTGCCTTGTACGTGGTAAGTACTCTATGAATATTACTATTTGTTGCTTTATTTCTAGTTAGCTTTCTTCCTGGTTCCCTGTGGCAACTATCCCATTCATTGAAGGCTTAGGTAACTTCTCCCACCTTCACACAAAGGCCATGAGTTCTACTTTCTGCTTCCTTTTTCTACACTCATTCATGTTTTCTTCTTTCAGCTCAAAGTTAATCCTTTTCCTCTGCTCTGGATCCCCTTCCCTTCTGCTCACTTAGGACCTTTGCTTCATCAGTTACCCCCTTTAACTTCTACTTCTCTTTTACATTCTTCTTTCCCTCAGAACATGCAAATAGTCAAATTCCTCCACATTACAGAAAACCCTCCAAGTCCATGATGTTTATCATTATCATTTAGCTGCTACCCTTTCCTCCCCATTGCAACCAGAATGCGTGGGAGAGCCACCCGTATTGCTCTGCACTAACTCATCTCCCACTGGCTGTGGCCTGCCCTCCACCACCACAGCCCTGAAGTCCCTCTCCTGACACCCATGACCTCCTAATTGCCAAGTCCTTAACTTATGTAATCTATACGTGGGACAGGCATGCCTTGTCAAATAACCGAATTGCAACTGCTCCTTTGTTTCTTTTCAACTGTATTCAGCAAGAGAAGGTGTTCTCTTGACTCTGGGTAAAAATTCTGGCCAACACCACAGCTCTCTTGTTCTCTTTTGAGAGCCATCCCCTCGTGCTCCATTGCAAGGGACAGTCTCAGAGTTTTCAGTCTTAGGTATTGTGCAACCTTTTAACTTCCACTCAATACAGAACATTCTCTTCTTGTTTCAACAATTCTAGGGATGGCGGCTGCCTGTCTTTGGGAAACGTGCCTACTCATCTCTCCGCTGCTCTCACAGTTTTACCATGTGAACTGCTGTGGGACATAAGGAATTGGTGTTGAAGGACAATTTTTTTTCCGAGAAGGTAAAATCTTTATTCTCTTATAAATATAAAATGAACAAGTGTCAAAAGAATTTTATAACTCGTTAATTAATGAGGGACCAGTAAGACTTTACAACTGATTTGAGGGGAAATTCAAAGAGCACATATGTAAGCAAATAGGTATACAAAAATAAATTCACAACTAAGTACAAAACTGGTTGATATCCCAGGTCAATAATCAATTTCTTCTATCTGACAATTTATTTGTACTTCTATGGACAAGAATCATTTGCATTACTTTAAGTATTTTGAAACTTACAGAGATGTAAAAGGCTCCAACAGAGTCAAATAGCACACAATGCACTAGATAGGATATATGTAATTTTATTTGGTCCATTTCAGAAATCTTTCAGCATTTTTCCTGACAGTGAAAAAGTAAGGAGAAACAAGTTTTTTTTTTCTTCCTTTCTCCCTCCCTCCCTCTCTTCCTTCCTGCCTGCATGGCTTCATGGTCTCCTGATCTGATTGATGGTTAAAGCTTTCTCTCATGGCAGTTCTGGTATACTCCTGGGCATCTCTCTCCTCTGGTTCCTTTGAATTAGGCAACTGGACCTCTATTCTAGGTTATTGCTCAATGGCAGCTTTTGCAGTCTTAAGAACCCCTATTTCTTGCTCAGTTGCATGTCCACTGTGGGTCAGCTGTAGACCGAGTCTCACTGAGCAGCCTCAGTCTCGAACACTGGTAGTCATCATGCCTGAGGGAGAAAGGGAGTCCTAAAGCTTCTGCTTGGGAGTGACACATGTCACTTCTGCTCACATGTCATATGGCTAAACCTGACCCTACCTTTAACAAGACAAAAATGTATAATCTTCCAGTAGGTAGGGACACTGCGGGAGGGACGCCAGATAATGGGCGAACAGTGATACAATCTACCACATCATCACCATGAACATTAGCAATCCTCAGGGTCCTACCCAGACTTCTGAGAACCTCAACCCACACATTGTCCCCAGCAGAGCTTGTGTATTCCTTTGGCCACAACTGTAACCTCTAGGATGAAATCCATAAATCTGCTTTTTGAGCTGCAAACTTCTCTTTCTAAATTCTTTTTTAAAATACCTAGTCCTAATCTCAATAGCTTTTAATCTAATTATTTTGTAATTGGTGACTTTCTGGCCTGCTTTTCTTCCAAATCATAAATTCCTTAAAATTAGTTTCCTATTGCTACCATAACAAATTACCACAAACTTAGTAGCTTCAAATGAAGACTTGTTACCTGACAGTGCTGTAGGTTAGAAGTCTGACCCTGGTCTTTCTGGGCTTAGGTTAGGGTGTTGCCAGGGCTGTGGTCTTTTCTGGAGCTCTAGGGAGAATCCATTTCCTTGCCTTTTCCAGCTTCTAGAGGCTGCCACATTTTTTGGTTCATGTACCCTTTAAAGCCAGCAATGTTAAATCTCTCTCGTGGTCATGTGACCTCTCACCACAGCTAGGTAAGTTTCTCTGATTTTAAGAATATATGCGATTAGGTCGGCTCCCAAGATAATCAAGGATAATTTCTCAGTCTCAAAGTCCTTAATTTGATCACATCTGCAAAGTTCCTTTTGTCATGTAAAGTACATAGTCACAAATGCCAGGGATTAGGACATTTTCGTGGAGACATTATTTTGACCATACAAAGGCAGAGTCTTGGACTTATTCATATCTATGTCTTGTTTACTTGATTTCAGAGCCTGGGACACATTAGACTCCAAATAGATGTGGAGTCAGTGGTAAATATTTATTTTTAATTTTTTTTTCTTTTTCTATTCTATGGTATTTTGTTATATGTTAGTGGTAAATATTTAAATTTTCACTTTGCTGCTACATTGCACCCACTTTTGGTGGAGTGTCTTGTAATTTTCTTACCATCTCCATCTTGCATTCCAGTTGGACTTGGTCATATTATTCCTTTCACATGGGTGGTTTGAAACCCTCTCTCTGTTTCTATCCACCAAACTCTCCTCAAATGATACTTCATAAAACTTTTTCTAATCCCCAAGTGTCTTAGTTTGTGTGTATTGCTATAACCAAAAAGCACAGACTGGGTGATTCATGAGGATGGGAAGTCCCTGGTCAAGATGCTGGCAGGTGGGGTTTTCTGGGGAGGGCTGCTCTCTGCTTCCAAGATGGCACCCTGCTGCTGCATCCTCCAGAGGGGATGAATGCTGTGTCCTCATGTGGTGGAAGGTGGGAGGGCAAGAGAGAGGAGCTCCCCCGTGGAGCCCTGTTATAAGAGCACCTAATCCCATTCACAAGGGTGGCTGGTATCTTCATGGCCTAATCACTTCCTAACACCCGAATGAAACATATTCAAACCATAGCACCAATCAAATATAATCTTTCTCTCCTCAGAACTTCCCTAATATGTATAGATCTCTCATTCTTTTGCGAGTTCTGCCTCATGGTTTCTTCCTTTACTAATAAGGTACTGTCATGTACAGCCATAGTTTTGAGTTGCATATCAACAAAACACCCTTCCTATTTTTTTGAATCCTAAGCAAACTATGAGAAAGGGCCTCATCTTCCGTCTTCTGTTATTTGCAGTGAAGAATATAGAGTGAACCTGTTGTCACATGAAAACACCACTCCATATAGATATCTCATGTGATCTCACTGGAGAAAAGTATGAATGTTATTTTTAAGTTTTGCTGAAAATAACAGTGTTAATTGGCACTAGTAGTGATGGAGATGAGTAAGTAACTTTTTGTGAAATCTATTCTTAGGGGTGAAACAAAATCTTATGGAAATTATTCCAGTCATCTCTGGAAATTTATTAAGTAACCTAGTATGCAATGTTAATTTGCCATGATATTTGATAAAATAGTTTTGTATTTTCAGGGTAATTTCTTTTCACTTTACTTTTGAAAATGAGGTACCACTAGTCCATCTCTTCTAGATTATCTGTTGAGAAGCTATTTATTGGATGTCTCTTTGCTTTTAACATGTCTAGGCATTTTGTGATTAAAGTATGAATAAAATAAAAATTCAAATTCATAGAAGCAGAGAGTAGGATAGTGGTTGCTGGGGCTGTGGGGGCAGGAAGTAGAGTGGTTAAATGCAACAAAGTTGCAGTTAGAATGATTTCTGTAGGTCTGATATACAGTATGGTGATGATAGTTAACCATACTGCACTGTATACTTGTAATTTGCTAAGAGGATAGATCAAAAATTAAATCTACACATACACATACAATGGTAACTATGCAGAGACAATGAACATATTAATTTGTCCTATTGTGATTGTTTCATAGCCTAGGTGAATATCAAAACATCAGGTTGTATGCTTTAAATTTATATAATTTTTATGTATCAATGATGCCTCTATAACACTGTCAAAAGATTTAATAAATAAATCCCACAAC